CGCTTGTTTGTTTTCCTTATTTCATTGAAGACTTCCGGCAAACAAATGGTTGTGTACCATTCAGAATTGACCGTTCTACGTACCTCTAAATGCACTGTTGCCACATGACCAGTTTTTCAGAAAAAACAGGCGACCATTTGTTTCAAAATGCTTCAAGCGCGAACAACTTTTATTGGATTTGGTTCATCTTGAAACACCCATACAGTCGACTGCTGTTTAGTTTCCGGCTCATACGCATAGATCCATGATTCGTCACCTGTTACAATCTTATACACGTCTTTTGAAGCACCGCCATTGTATTTCTTAAGCATTTGTCTGCACCAATCGACACGAGCATCTTTTTGAGATTTTGTCAGATTATGTAGGATCCAACGAGAACAAACCTTTTTCACGGATAAATGATTATGCAATATTTCATATATGCTGGTGGAACTAATGCCCAAGGTTGTCTCAATCTCACAGTATGTCACATGACGATCTTGCATTATTAGTTTTTGCACAGCATCAATGTTTTCTGACACAACAACTGATTTTGGACGACCTTCACGACTTTCGTCGGTGAGCGAACGGCGACCACGATTAAATTCGTTATACCAGCGTTTCACAGTGGCAAAAGATGGGGCTTTATCGCTAAAAGTAAGCTGGAAGTAAGTTGATCGATGCACTCCTGTCTTGATAATCCACATCGAAAGTCGTAATAAATCATTGCACAAAAATTTTCACGAGTTAATTCCATTTTTTCGCTGAGACACAATTTTCAAGTGACTGTAAACAATACAAATCGCGCTCAAATAACAAAACGTTCTGAAGAAAGTTATGGTCAAAAATGTCAAACTTTCTAGTGGAAACGTCTAATGGCACCTGACAACACTCAGTGTTGCCAAGGCTCAAAATATAAGTAATACCCCTCGTATACACGCTTTCTACTGCATTGCAGACACTTTCTTAAACCTGCGTACTAGAGAATATTGCAATAAAAGTTATTACAAATTTTATAAGATAATATTAATTAAAATATACTACCAGAAAATGTATTCTTACACCGGAAAATGTGTTTTACAGCAGAGAATATTTATTCTAGCCTCACTTACGTGTTCATACGTGTTCCTCTGTTCCATCGATGTGACAGATTCTAACCTGAATAGTTTAACGGTTAATACTAAATGCCATATTTACCTCTTGCTATCTAGTGTCAAGCCTGTCAGAATGAGATGGCGAACACGTAGACACCCATTTCCTCGAAGACAAACACCTAGACACTCTCTTCTTCGACGGCGAACACCTAGACACTCATTTCTTCGACGGCGAACATCTAGACGCCCACTTCCTCGACGGCGAACACCTAGACATCCATTTCTTCGACGGCGAATACCTAGACACCCATTTCTCCAATAGCGAACACCTATACATCCATTTCTTCGACGACGAACATCTAGACACCCACTTCCTCGATGGCGCACACCTAGACACCCACTTCCTCGACGGCGAACATCTAGACGCCCACTTCCTCGACGGTGAACACCTAGACACCCATTTCCTCGACGGCGAATACCTAGACACCCATTTCCCCAATAGCGAACACCTAGACACCCACTTCCTCGATGGCGATCACCTAGACACCCATTTCTTCGACCTAGACACCCACTTCCTCGACGACAAACATCTAGACGCTTAATTCCTCGACGGCGAACACCTAGACGCTTAATTCCTGAATATCTATATATCCTCTTCCTCGAAGCGGTAAATACCTAGATCTTCAATGACAATCTCGATATTTCATTTTAATTATAATTAATATTTTATTTTAATTCATTTTATTAATTAAATTTCATTTTAATTTCAATTAATTATAATAATAATGCGCCGCGTGCACGTCACATCGTATATGTAACAATGTTGCCATCGCTGATTATCACAGCCGTCATGTGCAGTTGATCACATTCGAATGTGCAATGCTGCCATCGCTAGGTTAAGTCAAAAGCCCTCTAGTGTCGAAAAAATGAGATGGACATTTTCTCCTGGTCGACGACAACGATGATGACTATTCTTAATATAAAAGTTTCACATATTTTGCGTCGCAATATCTCCGCTCGTAAAGCACGTAAAGAAAAAATAAAAACACTTTCATTATATATCCCGACCGGTTGCAGTCGATTGAGCACACTTAGAACTTGATCGGTTCAGCCCTTATTGAGATCCGATAATCTCGAACTGCCGCAACTCGCCGGCTGACGTAAAGTAGCCACGGTAGTGGCGCTGCGCGTAGCTTAGTGCCGAGACACTACCAGTGTCTCCAGATATCTAATTAGTAATATTGAGCAGCAATCGTGATCGAGCAGATTTTACACGTGGCTAGAATACATATTGATTTTTATTCACTGTAGAGGGTCAGCACGTACGTATACTTCGCATAAATATTTTAAACAAGGGTTTTTTGTAAACTTTGATTATTGGTAAAAACGAAAAAAAAAAAATGGTATATCATCTATCCTTTTTAACTAATTTCTAATACCGTTCATCTGTTTCTCTGTATAACAACGTTTATACCTTTGACTATATACACCTGGACTGCCAGTAGCCAACTTCAGACGTGTCCCCAAGTTGAAAAATTAGGTTTCGCCCCGGAGCTCAATTTTCTGCGTGAGTGAGGAGCTTTGACTATAGTATATGCACATTTATGGTGTGCAAGTAACGATGCACGTCAAAGAATAATTTTTTGGGTGTATAATATAAAAGATCCTGAGCGTGTATAATTTAAAAGATCCTGAACATTTTTAACAACGAAAAATATAGCAAAAATATGTATTGTTTTATAAACGGGTGTAAATCATCGAGGTATAAACAAAAACATGTCGAAAACAAACCAGTTTTGCCGTTTTACAAGTTGTTTATTTTTAACCTGTTTTTTTACCAATTGTAAACTGATATTCAGTATATTCCGATTATTACTTAATTTCATGTTCCATGTAATTATTTCCAAAATATGATTTATTATTTTTATTGTGCATATTGACTTGGAATCTATAGTACTGGCAATATTATAAAATTGAGTAAATTGATATTTTTGCAGATTTCCAAAAAATTATTTATTATTACCTTTCATTAAATAGTTTTCTCATATATTCATTTATTGCTAAAATTATTATTTTTATTTATTTTCATTGTTTTATATCCCTATTATAAACATACAAATTCTTGTAACAGGTAGCCTAACTTCAAAAACAATACTACATCCCTTTTCCATTTCAGATTTTTTTCTGATTTCTTATCAATTCTCAACCAAATATATAATGAATTTAAACTTTTCCTATTTGAGAAAATCTTACTTATGGTATATAATAAGTCTTACTTATAAAAAACATGACAACTTTCGCATTTGAACTTCCCGGTCTTTGGGCTCCAGGGCGGAGCCTAACAGTATTCAGCCAACTTCAGTTTGCGGACAACGAGAGCATGCATTTCCTATAGCAAAAATGAGGGACTAGCAGTCCAGGTGTATATAGTCAAAGGTTTATACGGCTCGGTTATGCTGGATTCACACTGCGTCCGATTTGCCTCGAAGGAAAATTCATCGGAATCCTGTTTTCTGATTGGTTGCAGAGCGTCGTACGACGCACATCGGATGCAGTGTGAATCCAGCATTATGCCGAAGTTATACTTTGATACATAAAACTGGCCAATATCACAGTCATTCCATTCTTCAGAGTAATAGCTATGATTGGTCAATTTCATAACATCGATGTTATAACTGCGGCGTAAATCGAGCTGTGTAAACGTAGTGTATGTTTGTTTAGCATCAGGTAAGAACATGTACAAGTACTGACAAATCTGACAATAGTTTGTTCTTTATCGAAGAATTCTCAGAATTGTTGCACATGGTGCAATAAGTTCAGAAAGTTCATCG